CCTTGGAGTTTTTATTCTTAATAGTAAAAAGAGCTCATACCTGGGAATCAAGGAAACCTGGACCCCAAAACTGCCTCGGTCATTCATTGTCTGTATATGGCCTTTACTCTCTTTACTCTCAATTTCCTCTTAAAAAGGGAAGCATAAAACCTGTTAGGACTCTTGGTGGAAGAATGCAGGTAACTGACTCCACCCACGTGAAAGGCAGGGCCAGTCACTGCCCAATACTGACTGCCGCTGCCTCCACTATCGTCACCAAAATGTCCAAGGCATTTCCTGGCGCACAGCAGACTCCCGTTGCAAGGTGCGTGCCAGCCAGGGAGACTGTTCCGCCCTCAGATTCCCTTCCTGTAGACTTTGCCCTCAGTCGCCAGAGTGGAAGGCGCTCGGGACGGTCTGCGGTTCTGATGAATAGTGCCCTCTGCTGGGCATGTGGGGAAGGGCTTGCGGAGAAATCACGGCTGCCCTCACTACTTTGTGCAGACGGGGAATGTCTCTCTCCAGGTGGGAAGTGAAGTTTCCACTCAGGCTGTGGGTGTGGAGATAAAGGAGCAGTAACTGGCCCTGTCAGTCTCAACAACCACCACAGTAGAGATCACACTTAACGCAGCTTTGTATGCCAGGCACCCTTGTAAACATTTTACAGATACTAACTTATTTACTATGACCATTTTACAGATGAGAAAAGTGAGGCACAGGTAGGCTAAGTAGTTTGTCTAAGGCACATACACTGGAAGTGCCAGAATTTGAATCTGTGCCCTGAACCGTGGCTCCTTAGTGGAAGGTGGGAAGTAGCTCTACCTTTAGCCCAAGAGTTGGCCCTGTGGAGTTCCCATGCGAGTTTGAAACTGGACATACAGGCTGTGGGCTGAAAAAGGGGCTTTCCAGTGATTGCCCCCACCCGTTTAATGGCAGGCCACCAAGCTGACCTCAGGGCCCCTTCCCGACTGGCCATCCTTCAGCATTTCCTTGCCCGGACCCTTCTTGGAGTGCCTTTGTGTGGGCCTGTGGTTAAGGAAGGTCCATGCCTTCCAATGGAGGCCATGAATTTGAGGCCTCAGCTACTTGCCCACCTTCCAAGGATGATAGTCATTTTCCTCAGGCCCCTTCAAGGGCCTGGACAAGCCCACCTGCGGAGATGGGTCCTATCTGCAGCCCCTCAGCTCAGGTCAGCAGCAAGGGAAAACGCACCGTGTGAAGTGAGGCCTGGGCTCTGCCCATCTCGGCCCTGCTGGATGATCTTGAGGGAGTGCTTGCTTTTGGAACCTGTATCTTTTCCTATCTGAAAAATGACAGGGGTGGATTGGGGGCAATTTTCAAAGTGCTCTGCATTTGGGGGTTTAAGGAGAAACACTGGGAAGATGAGGCCAAACAGACATGTCTCGGCCATCTGAACTCTTATTTCCAACAATTTCATTTTTGTAAGGTTTTTAAGCAATCCCTATACCCAAAATAGGACTTGAACTTATAACCCTGAGATCAAGAGTTGCATGCTCCACCAACCAAGCCAGCCAGGTGCCCCTCCAACAAATTCATGCTTTTTTGGATTAGGGATCTGGGACCTTGGCTTTTAGTCTGGATGAGGGTGAGGGGGGAATCACTTAAAACAATGAGCCCAAGGGGTCCTTTCAGCACCAAGCTGTCATCCTTGACTGAACCCTCCACTTGGAAAACAAGCAGCCTTGATCCCAAACAGAACCACAGGCCCCTCTCACCCTAGTGAGACTCATTCCTAGTCACTGGAGGACTGGCTTTGAAGCATCTGCAGAGTTGGGTGCTCCAAGGAGTTTATTTCAACATTGTTAAGGGCAAAAAAGTAGAATCATTCATGTCCATGGATGGTGGGGACATTGAATAAATGCTGACATCCAAACTTGGTATGTCATAGGCAGAAAGGCAGCCTCCGAGGCCCTGTTGTGAAAAGGTATAATGCAAAATGTGTGTGTGATGAATGCACAGGGGGAAAAGGTTGGAAGGACATGTACCAAACTGTTGTACCACAAAATATTAAGGATTAACATTCAGGTGGTCCCCAATGGTATGGCCAAACACACTGGTTATTTATGGGTGCTAAACTGTATTTGGATTCCTTATTATAGGCCCTAAAGGCCAGAGTCCTAAAATCCCATTTTGCAGATGAGAAGCAGGCCCAGAGTGAGAAAGGGATGTTATATATCCATCCCCATCCCAGAGCCCAGGTTCATTTTCTCCAACTCACTCAGAGGCTGGTGACTAGTTCCAGTGCCAGGGGAGTCTAGATCCATCCACAAAGACCAGCCTTGGCTAGAAAAGGCCACTTCTCCTCAACACCCTCCAAAAATCCCAGGGGAGGAAGGCCAGGCTGCACAGTGGCTGTTTGGTTTTATTATTAGTCTCAGCTGAAGATAGGGTTTCAGGCTTTTCAGAGAGGAGTTTAAGATAAGGGGCAGCAGGTGTTTGCTGGCTGAGACACCGAATCCTCTCACCTTATCAGCAAAAGCAGCAGGGCCCTGAGACAGGGGAACCTGAGGCCACAGGAGCCAGAGGCTGCAGCTTGAGGGAGAGCCAGGAGGTGGCCTTGACCTGCAGGCTAAGGAGCTGTGGACCAAGGATGGATGAGAAGGTTTCCCACTTAACTTCGTTCCCCTTTGACTTCCCATCCATGATCTGAGACTTAGGACACCCTCAGTCACATCCTCCAGAGCCTTGGTGGCAAACCTGACTGGACATCAGAATTGCCTGGAAGGCCTGTTAAAGCAGATTGCAGGGTCCCACCTAGAGTTTCTGATTCGGCAAGAAATGCAGATGCTGGCAGTCCAGGAACTGCACTCCGAGTACCAGTGCTTTAAAGCATTAGTCCCTCTTGTGGAAAGAAAATTTTTAATTCAACTTCAGTAATCCCTATGGCTTCACTTGAGATTCTTCTCTCTTGGTTCATCGCAAAGAAAATGTTAAACTTCGCTTTAACAAAGGAACGCACGGAATAGTTCTTTCCCTGCTGTCTCTTCATCCTTATTCCTGCATCCGTGTATTGTTGGGATCGCTCCAATTTCACGTACATCCTGGGTGAGTTCTCTAATTTTCTGTCTGGCTTGATTTTGATGATGATCAGGTGTCATTAAAAAAAAAATACAATGAGGCCATTCTTTAAAGGAGGAAAATCCCCTCAGAGGGTGATTGTGAGCATTTGTTTAAAGGAAACAGTGGAAGTTAAGTGGTATTTGGCCCTAAAATGTATCAAATAAATGGTAGCTATTACCAGTGAACACAAATTGCACCTACAGTGTGGCAGGTATGAAGCCATCCAGTCTCCATAAAAATTCCCCATTTTATACATGAAAAATGTGAGGCAAGTAGAGGTTAAATTACGTTGCTAGGAAGTGGCAGTATCAGATCCTCCCTAAACGCCCCGCCCCTACCACCCCGTCCTTTCCTTACAGAGCCCACCACACAGAAGAGGAAATGCTTGCCCACATGACAGCAGCCACTGTTCCAGTAAAGACGTTGCCTGTAGTCCTGGTGGGGGCTCAGCCTGGAGGTAAGGGAGTTAATGTTTCTGTCCCACAGAAGAGAAGCTCAGAATTTGCAGAGATGGGTGCCTCGCTGGTTTAGTCGGAAGAGCATGAGTCTTGATCTCAGAGTTGTGAGTTTGAGCACCACGTTGGGTGGTTTAAAAAA